ACTTTGAGTACAAAACTGATTTTAATGAGAGTGTAACAGAATTTTTAGAATTAAACTTAAAATTTAAGTGTTTACATCCAAATGTTTAAAACTTAAGCATTAACGAACTATCAAACAAAAATGAAAGCAAAAAAACTATTTTTTTTTGGTATGAACTGAATTAATAAATATATACAATAAAAATAGTATATTTTTAAATTTGTATTCTTTTTGCTTATCAAAATTTGCAACCATCATTGACCCGTAGGGGTTTTTAAAGGCAGCGTTTATTTAATCAACAGGGTTAAAAATTAGTATGCGTTTACCTCGCACATCTTTGCATAGGTTTTGTGTGGATTTTGTATGACAAATTTCACTAAACCCAAGCGCATATCGAGATTAACCAGAAAATAAGCTAAGTACGATAATCCAAACATAATATAACAAATCTAGAGCAAATGAAATTAATATAAATAGACTAATTAAAAATCAAATGTCTTATAGGATAAGTATTTTACTAAAAATCTTTGTTATTTCATTAGAATTTTTGTATATTTCAAAATTATGTTTTATTTACGAGTCTAAAACAAAACAACTAATTAAATATATCAACGCGCACTCAATTAAAAACAAATAATATACCATAAAATTCTAGAAATCATTGCATGCTGGGTGAGACACAATAAAAAAGATTAAAAATTAACATATGTGATGTGATGTTTACTTGCGTGCGACGTCATAAACAAGTTTACTTCGTCTTGAGATTTGTTATTTTTGAAACGAGCTTAAGTAACTTCATTGTCTGGCTTTGAGAGAATGTTCAGTCTGTAAACAACTTTAGATCTTTGCAGTTGTTAACTATTGATCGCTTCGACATGGACTTATTTATATTCAGATCGTTTATATTTATTTATGTTGCATTTTCCATATTTAATGCATGTGCGGCCTACGATGTTCCGAAGGCGAGAGTAATTGTTTTTGAACGTAAAGGTTTCGAAGTGTCTATACCAGATGAAGAAGGTATTTCATTGTTTGCTTTTCATGGCAAACTAAATGAAGAAATGGATGGACTAGAAGCTGGTACTTGGGCTAGAGATATTGTTAAAGCGAAAAATGGACGTTGGACATTTACTGATCGTGTAACGGAGTTAAAAATAGGTGATACACTTTACTATTGGACATATGTTATATACAACGGTTTAGGATACAGAGAAGACGATGGAGTATATGTAGTCACTGGCTTCAACACTACTCAAACGTCACCAATTACAACAACTTCGAAACCTCCAGTAATCACAACTAAAACCACAACAACTGTCACTTCAACTTCAGCCAATTGTAAGCAATCTCAAACTAAGATAAATGGTAATCAAGTTGTAGAGTGTGCGGATCAATTATTGTTTGAAGACGAGTTCAATAACTTAAATACAGATAAATGGAAATTAGAGAATCGTTTTGCCTCAAGTCCTGACTATGAATTTGTGATGTACGTTAATGATGTACCAGAAATAATTCAATTTGAGAATAGTGTAATGCATATCAAACCCAAAGCTACAGCGAAACTCGTTCAACAGGAAAATCCATTAAAATTTAACTTAAATTTTGGTGAACGTTGCACGGGTTTGCTCAATTCAGAGGAATGCGTAAAAGAAGCTAAACAGTCACCTTTAGTGTTCATACCGCCTTTCGTGTCCGCACAATTATCTACGATGAATTCATTTTCTTTTAAATATGGACGTGTGGAAATACGCGCCAAGTTACCACAAGCAGAATGGGTTATTCCGGAGTTGTGGTTACAGCCTGTCACATATGCATATGGTGCAACAAATTATCAGTCAGGACAGGTACGCATTGCATTTAGTCGTACAAATGGCACTTTAACTGATTTATATGGTGGCGTTATCTTAAATTCTGAAGAACAGTGGCGTTATAAAAAGTTGTGCCATTTACCTGCAACAACTGATAAGAACTGGTGCGATGATTATCATGTCTTCACATTAATTTGGACTGAGATGTATTTGGCATTCGCGGTGGATAACGAAGAATATTGTCGCATTCATACCTTACGTGACTTAAATACCTTGCCGAATCATGGACAATTAAGTACTGGTACTAAATTGGCACCTTTTGATCAGGAATTTATATTGACTCTGGGTTATGGTGTTGGTGGTCACGGAGATTTTTCGGATAACGAAAAATGGATAACGCCAAAACCATGGGAAAACACCGATCCACGCGCCATACCAAATTTTGTGGATTACTTAAACCACAAACATGGAGATTGGCTAGAAAATGGGCGTTTAAGTATTGACAGCGTTAAGATTTATTCAGTTTGAAGATATTTTCGTGAAATTCCAATCCATTCATATTACAATTACTGCATTTATATAAACTATAAATAATACTTTAAGTATCGTAGTTATTCTGGTTTGAGTATTTAATTATTTCTTAGTATATAGTATATATATAGTATAGTATTATATATTAAATAATTATATATTAAAAGTCAAGTTTGCTGTTGATGCCTTCAACTTTAAGATAAATAAGTTTATTCACGCTACTCAATCGAGATCTATGTTGAGAAAAATGTTTCATGAAAATTAACAATAAAAAAATTTAATTTTTTAATGTTTGCACTTTTTATTATACGTAAAATTCAAATATATTTTATTATTAAATTTGCACGCTTAAGTGCTTTATGTGAAATCTTGATGAATCATTCCCATTGAATATTTGTTATTCAATGAGATAAAAAAACTTAATTCTGGCAGTTAATGATTTAAGGAGCATTTTTGCATTTTCAGTATTATTGAACTGCAGTTCATAATCAGAAAGGATTGGAACTCACTTCGGTCTGGGACCCGTTATTGTATCCTTTCTTGGTAAGTGGTATTGTGAGCCTAATATGCACAATTTAATATTGTTCTTACCTAGGTATCTATTGTTAGAAACTGTAGCAGAATGTTAACGACCAGAAAACGTAAATAGATTACGAGATTTCAAAAGAGGGGAGTCTATATATAACTAGAACTATTATTTAATAAATGTGAGATATGTAGTGATGTGTAGAATTCACTTCTAACTCTACTGATATCTTCAGCCGGGTTAGAATTAATCTATCCTGAATCTAGGTACTCACAATATTACCAGGTAAAAACACATAAATAGGTTACAAGACTTCAAAAGAGTGGAATCTGTATATAAACAGAATTGTTTTTTAACAAATGTGGTAAAGAGTAAAATATAGTGCATGGGTACAACAAATGTTGAAGATTAACTCTCAATTGATTGATTCTAGGGTATAATAAACTTATATCATGTACAACGATTAAAAATTCAATTGATTGAATTTTTCGATTATTCCTCTATTTAACTGAAACCAAAGGAAATTCTAACAATTTTTAATATACTTACGGGTATTCATGTAATATACTTATATACTTAAGGGTATTCGTGTAACTAGCTCGGTAATAGAGTAATTGTGATGTGCCTACAACAAAATACATGCATTGGTATTGTATTCGAGGTGAATTTAATGCTAGTCATTCTAGGTGAATTTAGAATGAAAGCCATCCAAGTACCACAGATGGTAATCTCCAGCGAATGAAGTTATGTTCCTTTCCGTCATGATACAATAATAATAATTCATTATTAATTCCTTTGGGGGCTGCTTCAGCTGTCATTTCTGGCTTCTTGGTATTACAGTATAGTTATGAAAGCAGACGAGTCTTCCTTTAAAGACTGTTCGTCACTACTAACGATTAAGTGTTGATGAAGGACCTGAAGGATTTCAAAAGTAAGTATGTTTTGTTTTATATTTTGCGTCCCTATATGTTAATTCTTATAACACAATACTTATAAAGCAGTTTGTTCTTTTGTTCTTGTGGAAGCCTTGTGTATTCTTCTATGTTAGAAAATTGCTATTAAAAATCGTTTCTAACTTCTAATATATATAAGTGGATTTCATATTCACAGTAGCATTTCATTTATAAAAGATGATATATATACTGAACTAAATGCTAAAATATGCCCCTAATTGGAATAGCATTTATAATCATCCGACTTAAATATTGCTTAGAAGATATGATATACAGGTAAAAGGTGGAGTTGATATCTGGTATTCGAAAGTTTAGTCTTGCAATATAATTATTGTACAATTTTGAATTTAGTTTATAGTAAGAATGAATAATTAATTTTGAAATAAAATCAAAAATATTAAAAATAATAGATACAAAAAAAGATATATAAATATATTTCTTTCTAATTTTCTATATATTTCTATATTTCTTTTTGGTAAACCGAGAAAAGATGGTTGGAACTACCACAATAAAAAAATTATTTTTTAAAAAATTCATTGAATTATATTAAATTATTTTCCTTTTCTTAATATTTAGAAAAATTTTTTTAAAAAAATATATAAATTAAAATGATTGAATCTGTTTATAAAATATGTTTATAATATGTTTATAAAATATTTATATTGATTTACTAATAGAGCAGTTACTAATGTTTTTTTTTTGCATTAATTTTGTTTTCTACTCTATTTTTATTTATGATCTATCTAAAGGCATTTAAAAAATTATAGTATCATCTTCTGATAACACTATAATTTATTTACTTTCCGAAGATTTGTAATTAGAGATTTGTTTACCTCTCTCAATAATTTTTATTGCTAAAATACAAAAGTTCGCTTCTAGAAATCTTAGAAATTACACTAATATTCAGGTGTCAGCTAATAAACTACTTGTATCTATTATAGCATAAGTTATCTCTTTTCCTCAGTTGTTCAATGAGAGACTATTTATCTCACTAAATAATCTCTACTGCTAAAACAATAGAAATGCGCTTAGAAATCTTATAAATTAATCCAACGTTGAGGTGGGAATATTAGTACGCGCACAATTCTGGTTTAGAGATGAACTTCAAGCAAAAATCAATTAGTGCTTCACTAATTACTTGTCTAATAATAAGTAGTTGTTTGGCAGTCGAGTATAAGGTGCCAAAGGCTACAATTAAAGTTTATCATCCGAAAGGATTTGAAGTATCAATACCACATGACAGAGGTGTTAAACTCTTCGCATTCCATGGAAAATTAAATGAAGAAATGGATGGTTTAGAGGCAGGCACATGGTCTGTAGACATACGCAAAAAACAAAATGGATATTGGACCTATAAAAATACCGATGCTGAACTAAAAATAGGCGATACATTATATTATTGGACATTTGTAATACGCAATGAGTTAGGCTATCGTGAGGATAATGGAGAGTTTAAAGTTGAAGCCTACGATAATTAATATTTTATAGTGATTTATGTTAAAATAATTGTTTAATAAATAAAATTTAAATTTAAAATTTATTTTCAATTTAAAATAAGGATTTTATTTACAATTTTTAAAATAAGTTTAATAAAATTATTTCAAATAACTACAAATAATTTTTTTAAAAAGTGAAACTTGTGATTAATATAATTACCTAATAATCAATTATTTCTATAAAAATAAAAAATATTTTTGAGACATTTCGAAAACAGCTAGAGTGTTCTTCAAAAAGTAAACACATCACATATACTTGCAAATTAATAATAGAGATTATTTTGAAGAGGTGATCACCCGGCTTCTCTCTTCAAAACAAACGATCGACGTCATTAACAGGTTCACTACGCTCACAAGCTTCTGTTAGGTATTTTCAAAACATAAGTGAAGATTGCTTGGGATATTTTTAGTTTTAAAACAACTGTGAAGTGCAGAGGTTGGTTTTTTATAGAAAATTGTTTGGTCATGATCATGATTATATTAATAAACAATTTTTATATATTCACATCTATTCTGTTATCTATACTTCTACTACATGTGTGTGTTGCTTATGAAGTACCTAAGGCGAGAATAATTGTTTTCGAACGTAAAGGTTTCGAAGTGTCCGTACCAGATGAAGAAGGTATTTCATTGTTTGCTTTTCATGGCAAACTAAATGAAGAAATGGAAGGACTAGAAGCTGGTACTTGGGCTAGAGATATTGTTAAAGCGAAAAATGGACGTTGGACATTTACTGAACGTGTAACAAAATTACACATAGGTGATATACTTTACTATTGGACATATGTTATATATAATGGACTTGGGTATCGTGAAGATGATGGTGTATTTGTAGTAACTGGCTACAATATTACTGAAAATTTAACAACAACAACGACTACAACAACAACTGTAAAACCTACTACAACAACAACAACAACAACAACGAAGAAAACAACAACAACAACGTCAACTAATTGCGCTCCGTCACAAACCAAAATTAATGGTAACCAATTCGTTAAGTGTGCAGATCAATTATTGTTTGAAGACGATTTTGAAGACTCAAAAGTGGATACAAAAAAATGGAAATTAGAGAACCGTTTTGCTTCAAGTCCTGATTATGAATTTGTGATGTACGTCAATGATGTACCAGAAATATTTCAATTTGAGAATAGTGTAATGCATATCAAGCCTATAGCGACCGCAAATTATTATAAAGAAGAAAATCCATTAAAATTTGATTTAAATTTTGGTGCACGTTGTACTGGATTACAAAACACTGACGAATGTAAGAAGAATGCTAAGCACTCACCTTTAACGTTTATACCACCATTTTTGTCCGCACAATTATCAACAAGAAATACACTATCCTTTAAATATGGACGTGTGGAAATACGCGCCAAGCTACCACAAACGGAATGGGTTGTTCCGGAGTTGTGGTTACAGCCTGTCACATATGCATATGGTGTAACGAATTATCAATCAGGACAGATACGCATTGCATTTAGTCGTACAAATGGTACTTCAACTGATTTATATGGTGGCGTTATCTTAAATTCTGAAGAACGGTGGCGGTATAAGAAGTTGTGTCATTTAGCTAAAGCAACTGATAAGAACTGGTGGGATGATTATCATGTCTTCACATTAATTTGGACTGAGATGTATTTGGCATTCGCGGTGGATAATGAAGAATATTGTCGCATTCATACCTTACGTGATATAAATACCTTGCCGAATCATGCACAGTTAAGTACTGGCACTAAATTGGCACCTTTTGATCAGGAATTTATATTGACTCTGGGTTATGGTGTTGGTGGTCACGGAGATTTTTCGGATAACGAAAAATGGATAACGCCAAAACCATGGGAAAATACCGATCCACGCGCCATACCAAATTTTGTGGATTACTTAAACCACAAACATGGAGATTGGCTAGAAAATGGACGTTTAAGTATAGATAGTGTAAAAGTTTTTTCAGTTTAATCAAAATATTTTAGTTAGAAATAAATATATGTAAATGTATATAAAATGTGTTTATATAAAACTTAAAATATTCTTAAACTTAGGAATTGTAGATTTTTGAATGACATTAATTAACTGCAATTAATCTGAGTGGATGCAACTTGCGTATTAAGTTTTGTTTTTTTTTTTGACGCATAGGAATTTAGAAAAGAGCATCTTAATATACATAAGTGTATTTACAAATTTATATACAAACTGACAAAATTAAAATAAAAGTTTAACTTAACGTTTATTTAAATAAAATAAATTATCAAACAAATCATGCTTATGGTTTTGATCCGTCATGAGTTAGTTATTAATAAAAAAAAACGAACTATTGTATTCCAAGTATATAATTTACTAAAAATAAAGGTGAATTCCCTTATAATTTTTTTTATAATTCCACACATAACAATTTTTTAGCAAAATCAAGTTTAACTCATTAAATGTCAAGAATTTTTATTCATCTTTAATATCATTTAATAGCATTTAATTTAAAGTGATAAGTATAAAGCCCAATCAATATATTGGGTCATATAAACAGTATCTGCAGTAATCAAGTATACAATATATTAGTCATTTTTATTTATCACCGCTTGTAGCTTCATAGTTCTATTAGTGAGAACTTCTGCGGTTTTTTAGCGAAAGACTTCACAAAGCGATTTTTAGCCGTTTTTTGATAGCCCAATTTTTACCATAAAGAGAGTTTCGCAGAGACCGAAAGAAACGATAGTCAGACGGTTTATATGCTAAATGTATCAAAACTTTCCAATTAAGTTTCGAGTCTTTCAAGTCATTAAAAATGTGTATGGCCTGGTATTATAATGATGGAACATAACCCATTTTTTATGACCGATTCTAGTCGCTTTTCCATAATTCCTTCATTTTAACCTGACAAGTTGTAAACAATAAAGAACCGAAGTATGTGTTTAACCAGGCGAAAATAGTTCGTAATAGACAATTGTCTTTTAATCCCACCAAATATTCAACATAACCTTGTTTGCTATCAATCCAGGCTTTGAAGTCGTTTGTAGAGGGTTATCGGCAATTTACTATGATCACTTGCATTGCATATTTTGGTATTTAATCCATTTTACACTATCTATATTGATTCGTTTCAAAAATTATACGATATTGTAGCACTTTCTTTATATTATTCAGATAATCAAATTTCTTTATATAATTTGAATGATTGAGTCGGTCAAATCAGTCCAAATTACAGTAATTCGGATAATCAAATTTCTTCACTTTATTTCATGTAATATTTAAATGTCGGGCGATTTGCATAGCTTGCTCTTTTAAAACGATTTCAATCTATCTTTGATATTTAGTGCCTCCGATATCTCCTGATAGCTTACGTTGCGGCCTTGCTTCATTAGTTGTAAAGTTGTTTGTACCTCTTTTGGAAATAGCTTACCAGAGTTGGGTACATCTTTAACATTGACATTTCCAGAATAGAATCGTGTACACTATTCCTGAAGTGTGAAATATAATCGAATTTTTTTGTGTTTGATCCTGGGAAGTGATGGAAAGCAATAAGAAAGGTGACTGTCTCCCTAAACGATGAGTTCAACGGCAATTATTCAAACCCAAACCATTATGTACTCTAGCGAAAAGGCACAAAGTGTACAAACACAGATATCTCATTTCAGATACTACCAGCATAAAAATTTATTATGAGACTATGAAAATACATTTAAGGCAGTCTCAGATTGCTTTTTGCACCTGAGATATTTTTCCTATTTACTTTTGAGCAGAGAGAATATTAAAATATATCAAGAAAACGAGTCTTTCAGAGTCTAGTATTTGTCGGTGTTGAATATTGAACAAATTGACTTTGAGTAGCAGACATCTATATGGGTTACAACTTCCTGGTCGTTTTAAAATATGGAGGAATACAAAATTATAAGTGCTCAAATTTATTGATAGCCTAATGATCGGTTAAAATAATAAGGGTTAACTTAAGTCAATTCTATGTGTTTGAATATTCTCTACAAGTAATTATTTAATGAAATAAATAGTCACCTAAAATTATAAAAAGTTAATCTATGTCTGGATTAATTTAAGAGATTTACTCTAGATATAACACAATAGATCACATAGGTCGCGATATATCTTTATTGTTTTAATATTATTAGTTCCCACAGTTATTATTTATAAAATCACTGTAGTATTCTGTGAAACTGAATGTCTCTAGTAAGTGATGTTGTCTTGATATCATTATTCTATAATAATGATATTTAAATGTTAAAATAATTTATAATAATTATGTCCCATTTTTATCAGACTATTTACAAGGTGAGATGAAAAAACTGCAACCAACTTCAGACTGCTGTCATTTCTAAACCGCTCGTCCCACAGCTGTCAGATTTATTTGACAGCTCATTATATTGTTTACAAGCGCACAAAAGCATTTTGGTGGGAATTTTTCAGAAAAAAAGTTATTTGTGATGAAATTCAAGCGTGATAGTGTGATTGCTTTGCATTTGGCTGGAAAACCACAAGTGGCTATCGTTAGAGCCCTCCAGCATTTAAAAGTGAATAAATGTTTTGTGTCTCGTACCATCGCTCGTTACCATGATACTGGTAGCGTAGCCCGACGTCAAGGAAGTGGACGAAAAAAAACAGCAACATCGGCAGAAATGGTTCGAAAAGTGAAAAAGCGAATTGAACGAAATCCGCGTCGCAGTGGACGAAAAATGGCTCGTGAGCTGAACATATCGCAATATGCCATTCGGCAAATATTGAAAAATGAGCTTGGACTAAAGCCATTCAAGTTCCAAAAAGTGCAAGATCTTACTGATGCGCAAAAAAAAGTTAGACTCGAAAAAGCTAAAGAGTTGTTTCGCTTGGCCGAAAGTGGTGAACTGCCGAATTTGGTTTTCTCCGATGAGAAACCATTCGTTATCCAGCAGTTTGTAAACAAACAAAATGATCGTGTTTACTTGCCAGAGAGGTCAGCTGAAAATTTGCAACTTCGGTTGGCCATCACAACTCAAAAGCCGGCCATGGTGATGGTGTGGGCCGCCATAACAGCCGATGGTCGCTCGCCGCTCGTATTCATCGACCGTGGTGTCAAATTAAATGCGCAAATCTATCGCGAAAATATTTTGGAGGGAGTTCTGAAGCCCTGGGCACGCAAACATTTCGGCCGCAGACCTTGGACATTCCAACAGGACTCAGCACCATCGCACTCAGCACGCGCCATCCAAGAATGGTTAAGAAATGAGGTTCCTCGCTTCATTTCCACCGCACAATGGCCACCAAAATCTCCGGATGCCAATCCGTTGGACTATTGTGCCTGGGGTATTTTGGAAAGCAAGGTTGGAACTAAAAAATACCAAAGTGTCGATCATCTCAAGCAAGCGCTTCGCCGAGAATGGGACAAAATACCGCAGAGCCACTTTCGGGCAGCGTGTGATGGTTTCATTGGCCGTTTGAAGGCCATAGTTTGTGCCAAAGGTGGCCAATTCGAACAAATCTAAACCGATTCTCAAATTTGATGTTATTTCCGACATTTTTTGCTTTCATTCAATAAAATTTAAAAAAAATGAAAAAATTATGGCGTTTTACTTTGTTGCAGTTTTTTCATCTCACCTTGT